TGTAGGAAACAGATGCTCAAGATGTCACACACACACACACACACACACAACCCAATACTAGACTACGCTAACTTAGAAGACATCACTCTTAGTGTAGGAAACAGATGCTCAAGATGTCACACACACACACACACACAACCCAATACTAGACTACGCTAACTTAGAAGACATCACTCTTATTGTAGGAAACAGATGCTCAAGATGTCACACACACACACACACACACACACACACACACACACACACGAGGCGAATGACTTGTTGATATACAAGAGACAAAACCCAATACTAGACTACGCTAACCTAGAAGACATCACTCTTATTGTAGGAAACAGATGCTCAAGATGTCACACACACACACACACACACACACACACACACACACAAACACACACACATATCTGGCTTGACCGCCGGCACGAGGGTGTGGTGTGTATATAAGTAATAAAATGTTTGTGATATATGGCCGTCGAAAACAACCACCCTGGTCAACCAGTCACCATTGTACGTTGGGCATCAAACCCCTTGGTCTCAAATTGTGATGTTGTTGAAGGTGATCGAAGGCTTGTGGTGGCGACCATTTGTATTATGGTGTGAAAGTGCGGGGCAGCCACGTTTCTTCAGATGAAGTGGAGTTATTCTTGTGAAGTGTCGTTCAGAGAGCTAAAGCTGTACATACATATCCCTCACGATTTCCGAGTTGATGAAAAGCTCTTGGACTCTTCTTTTTGAAAATGATATTGTTTGCATCCGTCATCCTATTTGAGCGTCATTCGCTCTTGACTCCAATCCTCATTACAGAGATACTATAATATGTGATGAATGATTGTTGTATTAAAAAGTTGGATAATTATTGCAATACCGCCATTACATGATGGCATCAATGATTGTATCCGTGTTTTTTGGTATGGCTTTATTCTTGCAATAAATTATACTTTGTTAAACTATAAACGGTTGTGTTCTTTGTGTGTTTCAGTCTTATCTTCAGTGACCTGTGGTCAACTTTGTTTGACAATACGAAACTCTCATGAGTCATGTGACACAGTTCAATAATA